GCCTGCCGCTCCCCCTGCTTGTGCGCATGCGCGCGCTCTCTCTCCCTCTCTCTCTGACAAATAGATAAATCTTTAAAAACAAAAACAGAAAAACACTTGTGTGATGTGACCAACCTTAATTCGTTCGTGATTGCTTTTTTCTACAGTGTGAGACAGATGCCTTGGGTCGGATTGGTGACACGAGATTCGGTCCCACTCCCACGACAGGACTTGCGGATGCCCTGACTTCTCGTCCTGCAGCTGGCATCTGGAGAAATCTGTGCTCCTATTAGCATGATGCAAGGAGCTGGAGAGACTGGCCCACCCCTGGCCCACGAGGACCCCCCTCCCCACACTGACCTCTACGTTTCTTCCCTCGTCCACTTTCCGGTTCCCACAGAAGCAGGGCTGGGCTGTCTCCCTCCCTGTTTGTACTTCACGTCGCACTGACTAGCAATGTCTTACTTCCCTATTTAAAATACAAGTCCAGATATGAATTTCTTTTTTCTACTTCTTGTCACATGGGGTTGATGGGCTAATAAAGGAGAAGATTTATAAAGTTTGAGACAGAAAATAAGGGGAAGCACTGAGAACCTTCCAGAATCTGCATATTTGCTTCGCTCAGTCTGTTGTGGGTGGGGACAGGAGAGGCTGTGAGGAGACTAGCATGGACAGGGCCTGTGTGGGCTTTCACCACGGTCACTCTTGGGCATGGTCATCTTCTCTGCTCCTTTGTCCTTGTCCCTTCAGTAGAACCTTGTCCCACTAGGACCTGCGATCATAGGGACTTGGACACAATGGGGACCTTGTCTTGCTTCCAGGGCCCTGGGCAGCAAGGGGTTCATGTAGCTGGGTAAGCCTGCGTTCTGGCCTGGGTCCAGTCCTCAATCCCTCTCCTTTCTGCAGTTATATTTTGCTTCTGTGGGTTCTTTTGGATTCTGCCTCTTCTTTTTCCTGTGTAGAGTTCTGGTCTCCTTTTCCTCTGGGCTTCCCCCATCTCTCACAGCAGGAGGAGTCGTTCTGCCTGTCAATGTTCTTACCAGTCCCGGGGAACCCCTGCACGCAGGCATCTGTAGCATCGAGAGATTAATTTTCACACTCGTCCAGCTCTTGCCTTCCTTCCAGGGCTGTTTCCTGGGCTGTTTTCCCCATCTTTCCCATCTTTTTTTAAAGAATCAGATTCTGGAATCAGTAGAGAGGAGGGATCTGATAGTTTTTCATCTTAATTAAATTCCTGTTGGGTTCCTACGTTCTCTGAAGCTTGCCCCCTTCCTCTGCCCTTTACTCCAGTTATCCAAGCTCTGGCTCTCATGCAAACTCATGGATTTATAAGACAGAGTCTAATTTAGGTGCACAGTTGGTTAGAAAATAGGACCCATAAGCCTAAGATCATCTTTTCTGAAGAGAGAAATGTAATCTTGTGCTGTGCAGGAGGGTTGGGTGGAGGGAGGAGCTGAGCAAAGGGAGAGAGCAGCATGTGAGAAAGCATGGGCAGCACTGATGGCAAGTGAGGGGATTCGTGCTGCAGAGGCCACCAAATAGCATTTGGCCTAGGGTTGCATTAATAAAGATACTGTCTCTAGAGCAGAGAGGTGCTCTACACTGATTATTCATTCAACTGATTTCTGTTGTGTGGCAGATATATGACAGACTCTTTTTGATGTAGGAAACCTCAGTGGAAAAAAAAAAAAAGAACAGGTAACCATTGCCAACCTTGTGGAGTATTTGTTCTATCGCTGAGGGGCAGGCTGTATACCACAAGCATAGTAAAGAAGGAAAGGGTCTACATTACACGTTTGCGTTAGAAGCCTGACCCAGGGCTCAATCCCATGATCCCGAGATCATGACCTAAGCCGAAATCAAGAGTTGGATGCTCAATGGACTGAGCCACCCAGGTGCCCTGATCCCAGCCTTTATTGGGCACAGGAATCACCCGGGTCTGTCATTAAGATCCAGATAGTCTAGAATAAAGCCCGAGATTCTGAATTTATAATAAGCTTGGCACTGATGCTTCTGGTCTTCGGATCACACATTTGGTAGCAAGACTGCAGGCCAGGATTCCCACATGACCATGCAGCAGCCTCACATGTAGGGCTTGTTGACCAAGTGATTCCTGAGCTTTGTTCCCAACATTCTAAGATGGCGGTTCCAGGAAGAGGCCTGAGTATTTTGTAATAAACCCACAAGTAATTTTGGCTCTCAGCCAGATCAGGAACCACTAAGGTCAGTGATCAGAGAGCCCTCAGGGTGGGGAAGGGACTTAAGTCCACATTTAAATGTTATTTTTTCCTGTGAAGAAGAAGTCAAAACTTGCTAGGAGATACATGTTGTTTTTGCTATCGTGGAGTATAGCCAGGTGGAAGATTTAGGAAGTGATTATCAGCTCAACATAAAGAAAACCTCTGAGTTGCTAAGAGGGTTGCTAAGAGTACATTTCTTAAATGTACTCACGACAAAAAAGAAATGGGAATTATGTAACCTGCAGGTGTTAGCTGACACTGGGATGATAATCACTTTCCAACATGTAAGTGTATCAAAACAGCAGGTGTACATCTTAAACTTATACAACGTTATATGTCAACTACATGTCAATAAAACTGAAAAAAAAATCTCTGAATCCTTGCTGAGACTATTTCTTACATGAATTTCTCTCACTTCTTGGTGTGAACAACAGATTCCAAGTTGTTCTAATTGAAATGGATAGATGATGATAGATAGATAGATAGACAGATATTTATATTTATTATATACTTACATATATAGAGATATATATACACATACATACACATGCCTTGTTTTATTTCAGGGAATACCACAGAACAGGCTTGAAGCTGGCTACACAGCCAGGAACAGAATCCAAAATCCCACGCTATGTGGTTCCACGTAGGAATTTATAATAAGCCCCTGCTCCTGAGCGCAAATGCCACTGCCCACAACGCTGACTCCAGGGATGCTGGCCACTGGACCTTGTGGCAGGGATTGCTGTCTCTGCTGCTCCTGGCAACTGGATGACACTTTGCAACTCACACCACCTGTGCCAAATGCATTCAACACTGTCCCCAGCCTATCTGTCCGCACATCCTGAGTCAGAAGCTGGCATGTGGTCACCTGAATACTGGAACTTCATGCTCTGTTCAATGCAAGAATGTTTGGGAAGGTGAGTTTTCCTCTCCTATGGAGGCAAGCGGGCTCTGCTTCCTACCTAGACTTTGTGAGTGTGGGATTCTAATGTGGGAACAGGGTACAGGTTCTGGGGGTGGAGCATGGAGGTAAGCAATGGAAAAAAGAATGGTAAATTTTCCTTTTTGGAGCAATGATCTGAGATCTAGAACTTTATCTGGTACATTGCAGGCACTTGGGTTTGGTTGGATGAATGAGTGACTAATAAATGACATCTTTCAACTTACTCCCTTGATAGTCTGTTACGGGGCCCCCCTTTTGTCTACTCCGGTTTATACTCACAAATAAATGGAGTGGCAAATAAGTTGAATGATGAAATGATTACTCAAAATCATTCCCCAGGGGCGCCTGGGTGGCTCGGTCGTTAAGCGTCTGCCTTCAGCTCAGGTCATGATCCCAGGGTCCTGGGATCGAGCCCCACATCAGGCTCCCTGTTCCGCAGGAAGCCTGCTTCTCCCTCTCCC